GGGGGAGGTGTGGGCAGGAGCCTGCGGCCGTTCCCGGTGCTGCCCCCCCGGCAGGATTTGCGCGGGAGGATCCTCCCTCTTAAGCCTCTTTCCTTAAACCCCCTCAGACCACGCTGCAGACCGACGAGGTGAAAAACGTTCCTTGTGGTACCAGGTGAGACCTTCAGCTCTTTCCCCCCTGCAGCCCTTCATTCTTGCTTGAACCCTCTCCATCCTTTCCCTTTTCCCCACACTGCTCACCCCAGCACACTTTAAAACACGTAGTTTCCTTTCCACGGCGTGGATTCCCCCCAGCACCCCACTGGAATCCGTGGAGAGCTCTGGAGTGCATCACCCGAGCTGCTGGGATGAGCCATCCTCAATATCTGCGCTGGCTTCTCCAAGCTTGGAGCCACATTTCATGGTCCAGTCTCTGGAGAGAGGTGTAACTGAAGGCAGAGCCTGGAACGGGGCGTTGGGGATTTGTGGGGAGTGATAAACAAACATATAAAATATAATTAGCTTTTAGAAAATGAGTCTAAGTTCGTTTTGTCTGTATTTAGAATTAGATTTTAGAAAATAACCCTCAAATAGCCCGAAAGATTAAACCAGGACAAAAAGAAAAGGGCAGTTTCCCCAGGCAATGGTGGCAAATTGATTTTTCAGAACCTCTGAGGAAAGAGGGGGGTTTTGATATTTGCTGGTGTTAACTGGCACCTTTTCAGGGTGGCCAGAAGCATTTCCTTGCAACCAAGCCAGAGAAGTGACTAACATGAAATGACACCAGCAGCACCAGATTGTGCTCAGCCCACTAGAGGGGAGTGTCCTCCAGCAAACTTCCTTTTATTTTAATTTCTTTTTCTTCCTCTTGCAGTGGAGGAGTGATGATTTATTTTGACAGAATCGAGGTGGTGAATTTCCTCATCCAGAGTGCAGGTGAGTTCTTCCCCTGGCATCCTGCCAGTCCCTCTGCTCAGACTGTTTGCGCTCCTGTGAGTGTGAGATGAGGCGAAGAGGCTGCGTGGGGTTGTGCTTTGATTTGGAGCTGGGCTGTACTGTGGGTATTCCCCTGCCTACCTCGTAGAGCCCCGTTCTTCCTGGGTGAAAACTTGAAACCAGCTCTCCCAGACCTTTTGTGTGTTTGTTATTTCTTGCACATACTTGTTCCACGTGCTGGTTGCTTCCCTGATACCTGAACACCATCCCTTGCTCTTCTTATTTGTATTATCATGGCCCCACTGGGCTTTATGCTTCAGTGAAGAACTTCTGATTTGAATACCGAGGCATGCAAGAGGAGACAGAGTGTCTGTGAGCAGAAGGCTGCCTCTGAGGCCCAAGGAGAATGACCCCTGCAGTCTTTTTTTTTCCCAAATTCTTTGATTTTTAGCATCCTGTTGGTTACAGGTTCATGGGCAGCCTGCTTAGAGACCTCTGTTTGTGCCAACTGCAGGATGCCCTGCCCTCGTTGTGCAGCTCAGACACAGCCCCTGTGCATTTGCAGGTGGTGTAGGGAGGGCTGTGATGAGTTGGGTGTCCTTCTGTTTACAGGGCACGTGGCAGAATGTTGGTTAGAGTGTTATAAAACATAAGCAAAAAATAAAACTCCCCTGAACAAAGTATTTGTTTGTGGCCCAGGCTCCTCTTGCAGGTGGATTTCTCATCTCACACTGGCCCTGTGCCTCGTGCTGCTGTGACTGAGCCATAAGGTTTTCACTGCTGGACCCCAGATTTCCCTCCAGCCCAGCTGCTCACACCAGTTTCACTTCTCTTGTAGTTTACGACATAGTGAAGAACTACACGGCTGACTATGACAAAGCTCTCATCTTCAACAAGATCCACCACGAGCTGAACCAGTTCTGCAGTGTCCACACGCTGCAGGAGGTCTACATTGAGCTGTTTGGTGAGCTGCCTCTCGCTCCTTTCGCTGTGGGATCCATGGCTCCTTGATTGATGTTGCTGATGGTTATTTGCATGATCTGTTGGTGCAGAGGTCACTTCCCCCAACTGATGGGCTTGTTACCTGTTGATCCAGTGGCTGCTCTGTTTGGAATCGGGATTGTTAACCAGCTACCATCATTTACTCCTTGTGATAATTGGTGCTGAGTGCTTCTCTATGTTGTAACAAAAAAAATCCAAGTCCAAACCTGCAGGAGCAGCAGGGGCTTTAGGGAAGGGAGCAGTGATTCTGTGGAGTTATTTGTGTGTTTAGCAAATGCAACTTGTTGAATCAGTTCCAGGGTTTGCCAGTCACACACAGAGAACCACAGAATGGTGGGGTTTGGAAGGGACCTCAGGAGATCATCCAGTCCAACCCCCCTGCCAAAGCAGGTTCCCTACAGCAGGTTGCACAGGATGGTGTCCAGGTGGGTTTGGAACATCTCCAGAGATGGAGACTCCACACCCTCTCTGGGCAGCCTGTCCCAGTGACAAGTTTCTATTGTAACTTATTAATGCACTTCACATGCTTACCTGTACACACAAAACCCTGAAGAACTGCTGGGTTGACTGAACACTGAAGGGATTTATGTAATTTGAGGGAAGATAAGGTTAAATATATATATATATTTGGTCTTACTGCATTAATAATAGAGTTCCCATTAATAGAGTGGGAAGAATGAAGCATTCATCCCAGTGACTACACATGTCTCCAGCATCTTGAGTTAGGAGCAGAGCTCCCTGTATAATCAAAGGGAAAAAAGCCAACGTTACTGAACTCCTAATCTCCAAGGAGTGCTTCAGCAAAGCAAGTCTCTCTCAACTTAGCTCATTAGACTTGACTTAGGAACCTAAACTATGTATTTAAAATGGTAAAAACACTTTTTGAACACCTATTTTAATAGATATTTCAGCACTACCTAGGTAGTCCTTTGCTTATTGTCACTTTGATCCTGATGGAAAAGCTGCTCTTGTGCTCTCTGCTGTTACAGAAAGTACAACCAAGCTCTCACTGGCCTGTGGGTCTGGTGAGGTTTGTGTTCCACATGTGGGGCAGTGCCCAACCCTGCCGTCGAGTGCCTGGCAAGGACCTGCTGACCTCCCCTCCCTCACTTCAGGCCACGGGGAAATGAGGCAGCACAGAGGCTGGGAGAACACATTGCAAGAGTCCATCTGAAAGAGAAGTTGTGGTTTCCTGGTAGAAATAGACCAGTCTCTGCCAGTGCTGAGTGTTTTGTTTATGGTTTTGGACTGACAAGAAATCCCTTCCAAGGTGTCAGCACCACAGCAGCGCTGACTGCGGGCAGAGTGTTGCTGGGAATGGTTTTGGACCCCAAAGAGGCAGAATTTGTGTCTGAAAGAACACAGGGTGTTTGCAGACTCCTGTTCTCTGTTCAAAAGGGGCTTTCCAAGAAGGCTTTTTTTATTTCCCCTTTCTGACAGGCCCCTGCACAAAATGCAGAACTGGGGCTCAGCTCCCCTCCAGTTCCTTTATGGGATTGCTGGCGGGTGAACTGGTTCTTTGCCGATGGAGTCTCCAGATGTCAGCAGCTGCTGATGACAACTGCTTGAAATGGACTCAAAGCCACTGGTTTGCACAGAAGGAACTTGTAGAAAGCCCCGTGTCAGTCTCTGTTGGAGCTGAAGGTTTCCTGGCTCGGGGGTTCTGCGATGGGGCACGGCCCGTTTGGAGCAGACTCGTGTCATTCTCTGCCCACATCTGCGAGCAGGTGCAGGAAACTGATAACAGCTGTTTCCTAAACTCCTGGCTGAACTCAGTTACGTGTGTGAGCTCCAGATAGCTAAACTGGGACCAAAGCAAACAATCAAGGAGTGTGATGTGATCACTTTCAAGGCCGTTACATTTTTATTTTCCCTTTGCACTTCTCAGCAGGCCCCAACTGGAAACGCTGCTGGTCTTGGAGATTTTCATTGAACCAGGGGTTTGATTTGTATTTTCCTTTTGAAATTTGGTAGCTGTGCTGGAGTTAACTGTTATCCATTGAGCCAAACAGACCTGACTGATGATTTTTTTGCAGCCTATTATAATAACTAATGCAGCCATTTCACATTTCTGCCTTTCCCTTTGCTTTGTCTCCTGCTGGCACAGATGCAGTTGCTAATCAGTCACAGTTTAACTGCGCTGCATTACTTCAGGATCAAGTTGGGAAGATATCAGTGAGGAAGTGGTTTAGAGCACAGATTCTTTATCCTAAAGGTAGTACTTTTGGTTCAGAAAGATTCCAAACTGCAGGTTATGGGGAAACTGGGAAGAGTTTCATTTTCTGGCTGCCATGTTCCTGTGGTCTGTCCCACGTGTTTGGTGCTGAGAGAGTTGGGAACCTGCCTTGGGGTCAGGGATGGGGGGTTTTTTTTCAGCCCAGCACTTCTACATCAAACTTATATTTGTACTTTCCAGAAATAAGAAATCTGAGCCATTCCAGCTAATTCTGTAGGTGTTGACAGCAAGCTGCCTTGCAGGGTTTTTAGTTACTTTTTTTGTTGTGTTTTTTTTTTTTCCCCCCCAATCAGATCAGATTGATGAAAATCTTAAACTGGCTTTGCAGCAAGACCTGACTACAATGGCCCCTGGATTAATTATACAGGTAACCAGGATTCCACTTTGTACTGTCTAAGGTGCAGATCATAAGGAGGGGTAAGGGCTAAAAGGAAATCTGTGAAAGCTTTTTAGGAAATTGCTTTATAGTACTGACTGTGTTTAACTTGAGGAAAGAGAACAGTATCCTTTCTGTCCTCTCTTAGCTTTGATGTGTTGGGTTTCTTTTGGTGTTATTCTGGGTATTGGTTTGCTCAGGTTATAATCAGGAGATCATTCAGTCCCACATTTTCTCTGTGAAGTTCTGGTCACAGTTTCTGCAGCATGTGAAAGCTTTGTGTGTCAGAGTGTGCCCTAAGCGTGAGCTCCCCCCATCCTCTGCAGCCTCAGGGGCCATTTGGCTTTTGGTTGTTGGCTGCTTGCCTATGTTTTCTTCGCTCTCTCTTTCCAGGCAGTTCGAGTTACAAAGCCAAACATCCCTGAAACAATCCGGAGGAATTATGAGCTCATGTAAGTGCCTGAGACTCACACCTTTGTGTTACCAAAAGGAATCGCTCATCCAGACTAATGTGTTTTCACAGCGCGCGGTGATCGGAGTGCCCTGGGCCAGGCCTGCTCAGCCTCGTGCTGCTGCTCAGAAAGGCTCTGGTGAGGCTGCACCAGATGGGCACGTGTCTGTCACTGGAAGTGGCTGGCAGGTCACTGCTGAGTTAGAAGTTATCTCTCCATTTGGAACACTTGAGCACAGAAATTATTTGCCCAGAGGCTCCATCATCCTGACACTGGCCCTGTTTGAAAGAGGCCTCCCAGAGCGTGTGAGTGAGTGGCAGGTGGATGGATTCCACCACTAATCCTGTTGTTTGACTGGGATGGAGAAACTGTTGATTCAACAGGCTGAAGACTTGCAAAGCTTTGAAATAACTTTCTTTAATAGCACTTGACATCCTGATCCCTTTTCAATGCTCTGAGCCAGCTGCCTTCTCTTGCACTTGGTCATTCAGAAATGCTGATGTTCCCTGAGCACTCTGCCAGCAGGGTCTGTGTAAGCCACAATAAGATCCCTCTCGTCCATTTTGATTCCTTAGCATTTCATACAACCTTTTGGTGTCGTGGTGAGTTGTGTGGTATGGTCATGATGGGCAGCATCCCAAATCAGCCTGGTACCTGTTGCCATAAATACATCACAGTGTGTGTTGGAAGAGACTTGTTCTTGACTCTAATCTCTCTTCCCTGATTGGGATCAGGAGCAGAGTATTTTATTTATATACACACTTTTAAAACTTCATAGTTTATGTACAAAATTGTGATAGAAAAGGCTTTAGCATGTAAAATGCACAGAGCCATGTGATTGAATGAAGGGTGATTTCAAAGCTGTTGACTTACAAATGAAGAACAAAAGCTGTCTGTGAGGGCAAGGCTTGCACAGGATTTTCATTTCTTCCTGTGTTTAACTAATTTCCTCATTAACAGTAGCCCAAAAAAATTAGAGATGTGTATGGTCAGTGACCTGCCTCTTGTAGAAGGTGCTGTGGAGGTGAGGAAGAGATGTTTTAGTTTAGGAAAAAAAAAGCTGTGTGTGCAGGTACGTGCCCTCACTTTCCTGATTGCTGCCAGACCTAAGCATGTGCTCGAAGGTGGACTGAGCCAACAGCTCATCCTGGAGATGTGATAGTCCACACCACTTCAGTAGGCACATGTGTTGTAACTTCTGGCTTCTTCTGGCTCACTAGGGAGAGTGAGAAGACAAAGCTGCTGATTGCAGCGCAGAAGCAGAAGGTGGTGGAGAAGGAAGCGGAGACAGAGAGGAAGAAAGCTCTCATCGGTCTGTATGTCTTTGCTCGGAGTGACTGTAGGGGTGTGTGGTGGGGTAGGCAGCAAAAAGAACCCAGACACTGGGGAGGGATTCACCTGCTTCACTGTTGGGGGATCTCTCTGCTGTGTCTGCTGCTGATCTGAAATTCTTCCAGAGAAACTCAGGAGTTTTTTCAGACAGGTTCCAGCTTTGCCCACAAATGTAGACTGATGCCTTCTGAGGGCTGAAAATCCTTCCCACAATTTGTTTCCACCAGAAGAGGATGGTGAGGACTTTCAAGGGTGAAGTTTTCTTGCATGAGGAGGACAATGTGGATGTGTTCTTTTTTCATTTCAGAGGCAGAAAAAATTGCACAAGTCGCCGAAATCACTTACGGACAGAAAGTGATGGAAAAGGAAACAGAGAAGAGAATTTCAGAGATTGAAGGTGAGTAGTGAGCTTCCCAATTAGTAAATGTTCTGTGGTGAATTTTATCTAAAGGTCCTGAAGCAGTTCACCGTGGAGTTAAGTAGTTTTTGAAGTGTGTGCATTGACTGTGTTCTTCAATCCAAGCTGATATTCACAGGGGTGAAGTTCCTGGTCTGAAGTCTTTCATTTTAGCCCATGTATGTGGTACCTCATGTACATTCACCACTGCAGTTCTGAATAAATATGTCTCAATAATTAGATTCTCCCAATGTTTTCACAGCTTATTGGGCAGTGGGAATTTTCAGGGCAAGGGCAGATCAGTCAGGATAGTAGAAGGCATTCAGGAGACTTGGGCAATGACAGAGTTAGCGAAGCTTGACTCTGGCTTCTCGGGTGATTCTTCATATAACCTCAGTGCAGAAAGTGTAGTTGTCAAGTATGGAGGAGGGGAATGGCAGGCTGGTGTCCTCCTAAAAGAAGTTGTGCCAGGTTTTGGATCGTGGTGGCAGACTCTCACAGAGTGGAAGCATCCTAAAATAGTACTGGGCAGTCTTGTGAGGGCAGCCACATCTCTTTATCTGCAATAGAGTAAGGGTGTGGAAGCTTTCTATCCTTTTCTTGCTTAGGATTCTTCTAAAACCTGTCTTTTTCTGGAGGGGAAAAAGTATTTAAATTCAGCTTCATTTTTTTGTGTAATGTGAAATATTTAGAAAACAAAATGTAGTTACTTACAGACTTGGGAAGAACAGGGATCTGTTATGTAGTTTCTAACAAAGGTTGAGAGAAGGGGATGGGGAGTTCTTCTGTGGTAAGCTTAGTGTTTTGCTGTAACCAATAAATTTGTACTCTCTCTGTTTAGTTTGCATTTTTTATTTCTTCACCTTCCTTTAGTTTTGCAGCTAACTACTTGTAGGAACTAAGATTGACCAGAGATAGGAATAGGAATGTTTCTTTGCAGACTGTGCTTCTTTCAAGGTGATGTTTCTAGGAGGTTGTGCTGTTAAGTTATGATGTCCCCCCACCCATCTGATGCCATCTTTTGTCAAGCAAATTCCAGGGTGTGAAAAGGAAGGAGTCCACATTTCCAGCTCTGAGTGGGAAGGCCTTATTTTCAATTACATTCATTTTAGGCCCTGTCAAGCTTTGCAGAAGGCCACTGAGGAGCCAATTATGAGTTTTACAGATCAGCAGCTTCTCATTAAGAAGTTCTTCACAGAAATACAAAGGGTTTTTTATTCTGAATGTGTGTTATTGGGTGTCAGGCCTTCAGTTCAGCTCTGTGCTAACAGGGGATTCCTGTCTCCCTCGTTCTTTCAAGTGTCTCTGACTGGGACCAGTCGTTTTAGCCAAAAGAGAGGAAGTCTCAGGCCAAACCATCCAGTTGCTTACATGGTTTTTAAGTGTAGCAGTTCACAGGACTCCTTGCTAAGTGTAGGTAAACAAATGGTTTATCCAGCTGTGCGACTCTCAGATCCAGACTGGCATGTGTTACAGTCATGTGGCTGCCTGACACAGAAGGAACGTCAAGAGATCACATTGAAGCAGCCAGATTACACTTGTCTTGGCCTTAACGTGGTGGCCTGATAGTTCTTTCTCATCATTGGATAGATAAAAAGTGTGATACAGAAAAAGGGGTGTGATACAGAAAGGGAAAGTGTTTCTTTCCGTAGATATCTCTGCTAGGAGTCGGGGTTTCCAGCATCCTGCAGGATCAGACCCTTTACCCAATTGTTGCTATTGCAGAGAAGCAGCTCTCCAACATCTGTCCAAGGGGCAGAGCCTGGAAAGGTTAAAACTGCCTGCCTCTCTGTGCCAGAACCTTAACCTCGGTATCCCAGACACAATCCCATCTGGGGAATTGCTTTCACAGTCACAGACTTCATCTGTAGAGCAGGCTGCTGTGTTGTTCTTGGAGCCCTGCGCAAACGTCGTGGGTAAATACCCCTTTTGCACTGGAACAGTTGCTGCCTTTTCAGGATGAGAGTTAGTGGCTGGGTGTAGGAGAAAAGGGGGTTTTCGTCCCGCGTGACAGGGATAGTAATAAAAACCTTATGTGTATGAAATGCTTTGAGGTCTTCAATTGCAGATGCAGTTCACTTCTTTAATGCTATCATCCTGCAGCGTTTTAGATGGAAATTGAGATCCCACTTCGGGGTTTCCCGTTTTGTTCCCTTTTCCCCTTGTTGTATCCCATGCAGTTTAGATGTGGTGCTGGCCACTTGAAAAAGTTTCCAGCTGCTAAGGTTGCTAACATGGCTGGAAATAAAAATCTGAATATGAAAGCATGTGTTTTCTTCCAGATGCTGCATTTCTTGCAAGAGAGAAGGCAAGAGCTGATGCTGAATGCTACACTGCTATGAAAGTAGCCGAGGCAAACAAGGTATTGTGATTTCCTTACACTGTGCCTTGAAGCAGGGCTCCTTACATTAGAAATACTCAGCAAAAGAGCAGCCTGTGTTTATTGTTTGCTTCTTGTGTCTCATTGTTTAAGTCAAAAAGCAAAACAAAACCATCTCCTCAGCAAAGTTTTCATTGAGACTGAACCAATTAGGTCCTTTATTGGCAAATTCATTTTCTTCTCTGGACAGATACATTTCTGTCAGAAGACATGAAATACCTGGTCATCTCTGGAGCCAGCTCTGCTAGATGCTAAAGGGGCCCCGTGGCTCCCTCTGCAGTTAGGATGTCAGTTTTGGTGTTGTCCTTTCATGCTGTCATCAGAAATGTTGATTCATTCAATTTGTGAGCTGGCAAGCCATCAAAAGCAGGGAGATCTGTAGAGTGACAGGCAGGCTTACAGTAAGCAAGTGTCCAGGTGGAGAACAAATGGAGCTGATCTTATACACCAAAGGAATTAGTCTGGCAAAGCCTTGGTCCTGCAAAAGGTTAAAAAAATTAAAAGTAAATAAATAAAAAAGGCCAACCCACCTGGGAACAGAGAAATTGAGAAATTATATGGGTAGAACTGCCAGGCTCGTTAACTGCCTGGAACTGCAAGTTCCCAGGGCATCCCAGCAGGAAGACTTTCTGTTTTGTAAGGGTCAGTGAGAATGGACAGAGGTCTGGGATGTTTGTGTACAAGTTTTGTCCCAGTTATTCTATCCTCTCTCTTCTAATGTCATTATCCTGAACGAATGAGCTCTGCTCTCTGAAACAGACTCGTCAGTCTCCTCTCTGGACAAAAGCCAGTTGTATTTTCCTTTCCAGGAGCTTGCATTGCAAGGGCTTTCAGTGAGTTATGTGCTTTCAAGCATTTCCATCTCTGGTACATTTGGATTGAACGTTTCCCCAGCTGCTTCCATCACTTTCTTATTCTGCCATTTAGTCACTGGGATTTAGAGCTTCACTCAGACATTCTGACAGAAAGCCTTCTGCTGGGCACTCCTTCTCCTTAGCTGAAGAGAGGATGAGCATTGCCTGCTAGGGTTGGGGAAAAATAGTTGCTTCTTATGCTCAGGACAGAAATTTGCTTTTGACTGAATCAGAGCTGCTGGTGATCTGTTGGGTTTGTTTTGTTTTGGGTTTGTTTTTTTTTGTGCAGCTGAAGTTAACTCCTGAGTACTTGCAGCTGATGAAATACAAGGCTATCGCAGCAAACAGCAAGATATATTTTGGCAAAGATATCCCCAACATGTTCATGGACTATGCAGGAAGCCAAACCAAATTTGCAGAGGGACTGGCAGGAGGAATCCAAGAAGAGGATGGAGCAGGAACGAGTGAGGACACAAAACTACTTCATAACGTCAACTGAATGGAAAGATTTCTATTTGTTTTATATCAAAAAAAGAAACATGAACTGGGAAGTTCCTTTTCATTTTCCCCCTTTCCTTACTTGAAAGAGCTGAATCAGAATTAATCCTTTCAATCTTTTGTATGACAATTAGACACAAAGACTTTGGTACTTATGGGGTGGTTTTTTCTCTAAGCAGACAGCTCCAGGTATGTTCTCTAGCTGCACCTCTCCCTCCTGGACATACAGACCTGACTCCTCTGGAGAGGCTGCCTAGAGTAGCTGTTCTGCAGCCAGCTTAGATGGGTTCTTATTTTTAGATTGAGGTCATTTGTAGCAGTTGAAAGTAAAGAAATTTAGAGGTTTTGGAGAGAAGGGAATTGCTGCTACAACTTATTTAGTTTTTTTTTTCTTCTGTTGGAAATTTTGAGTACTTTATTTCAAACCCCTTTTAAAAAAAAAAAACGGTGCTAGACTTTTGTACACTACGTGTGACTCCTCGTCCAAATGGCAGGTCACTGCCCGTGTTGTGGGACGATCTAACAGCCTGTGTCTGTGCTCCAGGCCCATCCTGAGTGTCAGCTACGTAGCAAATGCACAAAACCACCCTTTGCTGAGCTCTGAGCCGCTGTGTTTTGCTTTGGTAGGGCAGCTGAGACCATGTGCACAGTGAATTACAGAAGTTCAGCTGAAATCCTGCAGTTATCGTGGGGGGATCTAAGCCTTAGACTTAGATCCCCCTTAGATGTGGAACACAGGTAGTGGCCCAAACTGTTCATTTTTTTTGCATCTTAACACTGGTTTGTTTTCCATTTGTCATTTTTGGGGAGGGTAAAAGGGGAGTCTGTGTTTTAAGGCTTTTGCCAGCAGTGGAGCTGCTTGGTGAGGGGTGTAGGTGTGCTGGTGGAGGCAGTGTCCTGCCAGAGGATAATTGGATTGGATTTGGTTTTCAGTGAAATCAGACTGCAAGTGTGGTACTTGTCACAGTCATCATTGTTAGAAAAACTAGGGAGGAAAGAATTTTTGTCTCAGGGACCCTGACTTTGCAAAAATTCTTGCTGGCCAGTAACTGCTGGAGTGACTAGTCCTGTGGTCATTACAGTTTGTTATCTGCCTCTGCAAGACCAACTGGATTCAGTGTTTACAGTGTCTTATTAGAAAGAGAACAATTCAGGTAAACTGAACAGAGTTACTGTTGTTGGTTTTATTTCTGAATAGACCTTGTGAAAGGAAGATTTCCCAGTAGCAAAGGACACAAAACATCATCCTGAAAAGTCACAGGGCAAAGAAAAGAATCTCTGGACTGTCCAGGGATAAATCTTCCCTTTTTTGTTGTTGTTTTTTTAGCTCAGAACAATGCTATATAATGTACCTTTCACTTCAGAAAACTGATTAATTCTTCACATACCAGATGCAGAGAGGTAAGAGGGTTTTGTTTTACACACATGCAAAACTTGAGGGGGTGTTAAAGACAAAAGTTCAGGCCTAGAGAGAACATTTTTTTTCTCTCTCCCTAATCCATCTGCCACTTGGCAGGAGAGCCTGTTTATTAATTGCTGTTATAATTTGCAGCCAACATACCAATATGAGATGATGCAAGTGTAAGCACTAACTGAGTTATCAGAGCCCAGCCTCTTACAGTTACAATCCTATTCCCCAAATGCTTGCTACCTGCTACACTTGGTTCCACTCTTCAGTATTTTATATATGCATTAATCTTTTTAATAATGTGATCACTCTAAGATAGAAATCTGATTAATTTCAGCTGCTGGTTCCAGTATTTTTACTTAGTTTTGTTTTCCCTGTTAGGAGAGTGACTATTGAGACTTGAAAGTGCAAAATAAAAGATCAGGATCAGTTTCTGCTGGAGGAAAGTCCCATCTCCTATGTGTGGACTTATTATTTGTTGGAAAATACGAGCTAAGGGAAGTTCCATCTGCAGACCTATGTGCTACATTAGACAACACAGCGGTCAAAAAATTGCATCAGTAGGTAGGCTGTGATATTACTGATTTTTTTTATAAGTAGGTCCCTGCAGGAAGATTATAAACAGGGAAGAGCAGAAATTTAGGAATGAGGTGATAGTACCTAACCTTTGGAGGATGATCTCATTTGGGATTGCTCTACATTCATGTTAGAGACTTCCACGAGTAACTAAAACCTGCTTTTTATGCAAGTATTTTTCACTAATGAAAAGACCCAAATAAGCCAAAGTGGTATTATAAAGTATGTTTTTTTCTGTGGCTTCATGGTAAGACAGTAGTTTGGAATAAATAGGTCTTAATGATTTTTTTTTTTTAATTGAAAGCATTACTGCTATTTCTGTGGCTTCATGGTAAGACAGTAGTTTGGAATAAATAGGTCTTAATGATTTTTTTTAATTGAAAACATTACTGCTGAAGTATTATTGTCATTTAGCTAAATTGAAATAAGAGTAAAAAAAGGAAAAACAAAAGTTGAAATCATACCATTCTTCACAAGCCAAAATCCGTCCTAGTGTTTTCATTCAGGTTTCTTCATTATATGTATAATTTACATCATTTTCCAGAGCAGATCTGTCACTACATGTAAATCTTTATCCCATCTATCTCTTTAACTGGTATTTTCTCCTAACTTCCGTAATCTGAAATCTTGAAATGAAGATCTGAATTTTAAAACCACTCTGTAAAAGCAAATACAGGTTTGTGGCACTGCTGATGCGTGAGAATTGCTGGCGGGAGCATGGTAATGCTTTACCAGTTCAGTCTTTGATCTTCTTATGTGTTGAATTAAAAGCCTTTTTATTTTGGTATTTGCTATGACAATAAAATGGCCTTCAATTTTAATATCAGGTTTTTTGGGGGGTTTTTTTATGGATGACCTTTAACACAACATGCAGATATATTTGCAGGGGCAGATTTACCTGTTGCTGCAGTGGGAGAGTGGAGCTGGGGGCTGTTCTGGATCAGCACTGTGCTGACAGACACACCGGTACCGCTGCACGGTGCCAGTTCTCCCTTTCCAGGGAGCAGGAGAGAGGAAAGAGAAGCTCCAGCAGAAGAAAAGGGGCAGAGGTGTCTGTGTCAGCTCAGCAGCCAGCTGAGGAATGCCACAAGCATCTTTCAACCCTGCTTTGCTAACCAGATTGGTGAAAAGTACAGTAATGAGACTTCAGGGGTAAGTATCTTGGATTTATAGAATCACAGACTGGTTTGGGTTGGAAGGGACCTTAAAGCTCATCCAGTCCCAACCCCCCTGCCATCAGCAGGGACACCTTCCACTAGACCAGGTTGCTCAAAGCCTCATCCAGCCTGGCTGAGAACACTTCCAGGGAGGGGGCATCTTCCTTGGGCAACCTGTTCCAGTGTCTGACCACCCTCACAGTGAAGAACTTCTTCCTAATATCTAATCTAAACCTCCCCTCTTTCAGTTTAAACCCATTGCCCCTTGTTTTGTCATTAACTGCCCTTATGAAAAGTCCCTCCCCAGCTTTCTTGTAGCCCCTTCAGGTACTGGGAGGCCGCTATAAGATCTCCCCGGAGCCTTCTCTTCTCCAGGCTGAACAGCCCCAACTCTTTGGGGCTTTTTGGTAAAGTTTGCAGAGAAATCATTGTCATGTTTTAGCAGACAAAGGGCAGGAACCTTCTGGGTATTTTTAAACAGCTGTGTAAATACTGTCATTGCTCAGAATATGAAGAGGGAGAGAGTAAGTTCTGCATATTAAGGCAAATATTTTAGTTAATGGGTTCCAGCTGGCAGGTTCCCATTCTTTCCGTCTGACTGGCTGTGATAAAGGCTGGCATTGTCCACGGCGTGGGGCCCGTGGCCTCTCCAGCTGCGTGGCTGCAGCACTTTGGGGCTGTGCTCCCCACTGCCCATCCCAGCCTTGGCTGCTCAGACAGGGTCTGCAGAACAAGCAGCATCACCTGCCCTGGCTTTTAAAAAGCTTTACAAAGCTTTTTTTTTTTTTCCTGTAATAATTGAAATTTGCGCCGTAAGGGAAGTGTTCTTGGTGAATGGGGGAAGAACGGGGTGTTTTTGGAGGTGGGTTGTGGGTTTTTGTGTTTGGGGAGTGTTTTTTCTTGGGTATGCAGGTCAAAATGAGTTCTGCAGTCTCGTCACCACGGGCAGCACTCGCCCTCTGAACCAACCCAGGCTGCTGGCTGACAGATTGTCTTTCCAGTCCTCAGGGCCAAGGGTTTCCACTGGTGCCATCCTCATCGCCCAGTGAAGGCTCCTGCCCAGACACCTTCTGCTTCTCCAAGGCAGCAGCTGGTGGAAGCCTCCTCCTCTGCAGAGGGTGCTGGTGGGGTGCTGGGATAACATTTTGGGGTGTCAGGGCAGCATTTTGAGGCTCTGGAACACTGTTTTGGGGTGCAAGGGCAGTGTTTTGAAGTGCTGGGACAGTGTTTTAGGGGGTCAAGGCAGCGTTTTGGGGTGTCGGGGCAGTATCTTGAGGTGCTGGGGCTGTGTTTTAGGGGGTCAGGGCAGCGTTTTGAGGTGCTAGGGCAGTATTTTGGGGTGCAGGGGCTGTGT